GGACCTGAACCTGTTCAGCCTTCACAAGAGAAGGCTGAGGGGGGACCTGGTGACCGTCTATAAACTCACTAGGGGGGACCAGAAGGGTTTGGGGGAGACCTTGTTTCCCCCAGTGCCCCCCAGGATAACAAGGAATAACGGCCACAGGTTGTTGGAGAGTAGGTTTAGATTAGACATCCGTAGGATTTATTTCACAGTTAGGGCGGCTAGGATCTGGAACCAACTTCCAAGGGAAGTGGTGCTGGCTCCTACCCTGGGGGTCTTTAAGAAGAGGCTTGATGCCTACCTGGCTGGGATCATTTGAGCCCAGTTTTCCTCCTGCCCAGGCAGGGGGTCGGACCTGAAGATCTGCAAGGTCCCTTCTGACCCTACTTCTGTGATTCTATGACTTTTTTCCCCAAGCTAAATGGGGAAAAAACACTTGTCTTGGATTCAAGTAAATACAGTAAGTCTTGCCAATGACCTGATTAAGGCCCGTGTCACCCTTTTGTGGGGGTAGATGGGTCTGGGATCATGGCAGGGCCACATGAACAAGAGAAGGAATGACTTCCTCCCCACTGTGTCATTCCTCTAATCTCATAGAACTTTTCTTTACATGTTTTACAGAGCTTAGGACCTGCAAGGTAGGACCAGGCACACCCAAGGGGACTGCCACTCTGCAGTCATCACCCAGCGAAAATTTATGGATAATTTACAATGGACCTGAAGGGGATGTTCAGGAGCAGTCATGGTCAGAAATATGAGCCTAATGGAGGCAAGAGAGGACCAGGAGGCTACTAAGGGACCTATGCACAGATGATGAAAGACCCCACTTCTGTGACATTAGGGGAGGCAGAGGAAGCCTTCCCCAGAGGTATGATCCCATAGAAATCAATGAAGCTTCCAGTCCTGCTGGTGAGAGAATCTGGGTTGGAATCTACCTCCAAGTTGAGACTACCTGATGCGACTGTCTGCCTTTTTAGCTAATGCCCCTATTGCCAGTGTTCCTGCTTCATGCTGAGAAACTTTGGCTGAGGTCTTTAAATGTGGAGGTGGCTTTCAGCCTAGACATCATATTTAACATTTCAAAACCCTTTTGTCTGGAATACAATGGCAACCACAATCACTTGAGTAGGACATAGCTGTAATAAAACAGCTCTCCTGCTACTAAATAAAAGCCTCAACTCTTGGGTAGCTACATTTCCCTTTACAGACTTAAACTAACCAAATTTTTTTTGGTCTCTCCATCCCTCCCCCCAATTATTTAAAAGGTCAGGAAGTCATAGGTATGATGCCCTAAAAGCATGTACTGTACAGGCACAGTGTTCTCTATTTGAACTGCAGCATTTCCTAGGAAATGAGAGTCAGGATTTTCAAAACTGAGCACCCAGCATCAGCCTCCTATACTTAGCACATCCTTAGATGACAGGCAAGATTTCCAAAAGTGTTTGGCATCCAACAGTGCATCATGTCTAGCTATAAATTAAATCAGAGGGAATTGGTGTATGCTGAGCTTCTGCAGTGGGAAACCTAATCCTTAACTACTCCCCTAAATATGGATTTAGGGCTCTGGTCTAAAGCTGACTGAAGTCAAAGGGAGCTTTTCCCTTGTAGGCTTTGGATCAGAGTCTAATTTTAGGCACCAATTTTTACTGGTCTTGACTGTGGACTTCTTTCATTCTCAGCATCAATTCTACTTTAATTTCATTTTGCAATGAAAATGGGTCCCTGGCAGCTGTTAAACTTAAGACACAATTAACTAGAGTAATCATGTCTTAAAGTGTAACCTGGCCGCACAGTCAGGCAATTAATGGCATCACAAAATATAAAGCTAGCTACAAAATTATTATACAAAACATGTAATAATTTTGTGGTTTGCTTCCATTGCATCTTAAAATAAATATGTGGTAGGGTGGACCATATTAAGGTCTCCTACTGGCCCTTGTGCAGTCTCTGCCAGCTGAGATCATCAACAGCATTGAGATCACACTAGGGTTCAAGATACTTAAAACTTGTTTAGGGGTCTGGTTTTATTTATGTATTTATTGGCTTAAGGCTGAATTAGTTCTAAATTCCAAATCAATTGTACTGAGCTCAGTCTTTTTCAACCTGGAGGGAAGTGGGCAGTGGAGTCCCCCAAGGCTCAGTCTTTGGACCTGCACTGTTCAATTTCTTTATTAGTGACTTGGACGACGGGGTGAAAAGCAGCCTGTTTAAATTTGCTGATGATACCAAGATTTGAGCTGAGGTGGGCATGCTAGTAGGGAAGGACAGATTACAGCAGAACCTGGACAAGTTACAGGGGTGGGCTAACGAAAATAGGATGGGTTTCAATATTGACAAGTGCAGGGTGCTGCACTTGGGCAGTAGGAACCACCAGCACACTTATAAACTGGGAAACTCCCTTCTTGAGAGCACTGTGGCAAAAAGAGATCTTGGAGTCATTACTGACTCCAAGATGAACATGGGCCGACAATGCGAGGTCACGGTCAGTAAGGCTAACCATACCATGTCCTGCATCCACAGATGCATCTCAAGCAGGGCCAAAGAGGTGATCCTCCCCCTCTATGCAACACTGGTCAGGCTGCAGTTGGAGTACTGTGTCCAGTTCTGGGCACCGCACTTCAGGAGGGATGTGCACAGCATTGAGAGGGTCCAGAGGAGGGCCACCCGCATGATCAGGGGGCAGCAGGGCAGACCCTATGAAGAGAGGCTACGGGATCTTAACCTGTTCAGCCTTCACAAGAGAAGGCTGAGGGAGGACCTGGTGGCCATCTATAAACTCACCAGGGGGGACCAGTAGAGTTTGGGAGAGACCCTGTTCCCCCTAGCGCCCCTGGGGTAACAAGGAATAACGGCCACAAATTGTTAGAGAGTAGGTTTAGACTAGACATCCGAAGGCACTACTTCACAGTCAGGGCAGCTAGGATCTGGAACCAACTTCCAAGGGAAGTGGTGATGGCTCCTACCCTGGGGGGCTTTAAGAGGAGGCTTGATGTCTACCTGGCTGGGGTCATTTGAGCCCGGTTTTCTCTCCTGCCCAGGGCAGGGGGTCAGACTTGATGATCTACAAGGTTCCTTCCGACCCTACTTCTATTCAAGTCTATGTGGCTCTACCACTTGGCAAGTCTCCCCCTTCCCAGACCCATCAGTCTGGGATTTCAGATACTCCCCAAATCCATGGCAGGCGTCCTACATGCAGGTGCTAACCCCCAAAGCATTGGAGTTTGATGCCCCCTAGTCATGCTTGCTCCTAGCCAAAAGGCTGAAGGAATAAGACAGGGGGAAAGCACAACACAGTCCCCTATTACCACAAAATTGTGCTGTTGAGTTTCCTCCATTTGGGAAACTCGCAGGGGTCAGTCTGCCCAGAGCACATTGGACGGGCCTCACCTGGGAAAAACCCATTGATCATGGGGTTTTTTTCTTTTGCAAAACACACACACACACACACACACACACAACTAACTAAATATGTGTGTGTGTGTTTATACACATTGTGTGTGTATATGTGTGTGTATGTATATATATATATATACATATAGTGTGTGTGTGTGTGTGTGTGTGTGTGTGTGTACACAGAGAGAGAGAGAGAGAGCAATCTCTACCAACCTGTCTGGTGACTGCTGCTGTTGTTGATCATAGTGGGATTGGAGCATGGCAAGTACACCTGTGCTAGAGCCAGCTCAAATGACAAGAACAGTAGAGATACGGTAGGGTATCACAGCCATCAGCATTGGCTACTAACCAGGGCACTTACCCCAGGGTCCTAGTGGACTTCTACTCTAGTTGCCCAGCTGTTGTGCAGAAGCTTGCGCCATCACCGAATCCCTGCTGTTGTCACCTGTGCAAACTCAATTTATGCCAGCCTGGGTATGATGGCTTCCCTGTGCTACCATCATACTGTCCTTTTGCTGTGTTGCCCTATCATTTTATCCAAATCAGTGGTCCTTTTCCACCCCGCTGGACACAGACCCCAGGGCTGGGGCAGCTCTTCGACTTGCAGAGAGAAAAAGTTTCAAGGGGCTGGGGGCGGGGGATTGCTGGGTGGGCCTGCCCCCTCCCTCCCTCCCTCCCCCCCATGCCAGTCAGCAGTAGAGGGCGAGGTGAGGCAGAGCCCAGCAGGTTTCAAGCCTAATTGGGGTCGGGGAAGGCTTGGTGTGTGCCCTGGGCGGGGAGGGAGGGAGGGAGGGCAGGTCGGGCCCTGATAGGGCGCAGCCCCGCAGAAGGGGCAGGGGCTTG